GCCACTCTGCTCACTCATTCTAGTACCATCCATTGGACCTGCCACTGCGCTGGACAGGGCTATGCACTATGGAGCAAACCTGCCTTCCTGCTGTTTGTCCACACCGGGGGAGAGCAAGTAAACACATGCTGTGGGTCCTGTTAGCCCTGGTGCCAGGGAGCTTAAGGACACCCAGGGTGGGGGCGCTGCTGCAGCTGAGCTGCACAGGATGGGGTGATGGAGGGGGAGCCCGGAAGAGAGCAAAGGGCATCCTGGCACCGGGCAGGGCGGATGTATGGGAGGACAGGGAAGCTCTGCAGGTGATTTAAGGCCCCAGCGAGGGCACGGAGTGGGGTGTGGAGCAGGATTGGTAAACATAAATAGGTGGACCAAGAAGGAGGCCCGGGTTGAGAGCCGACTCAGGGCTGGCTCTGCCTTGGCGAAGAAAGTGCGAAGTGGGGTCCTGGTGCAGCCTGGGCGCTTTCTCCTAACATACGGCTCCCCTGGCAGGCAGGCCCTGCTGCCCTGGGCTTCGCCTGTCAAAGGTTCTGCTGCAAGTCCTCATGGCAAAGGCGCCTCCTCCTGGAAGCCGTCTGGATTCCCCCCTGCTCCCTCCTCTGCGCTCCCCCAACTTGGGCTCTAGCAATATCCCCGGCTGGTGTCCCCTGCACGGTCCCTCCCGGATCTCCTCCTTGGTATCCCGGCAGGTTCCATTAAGCCGCGGAGGCGCGGAGTCCCGCCACGGGCAGAGAGCGAGGCCGGGGGAGCGGAAACTGCGCACAGTTCAGCGAGTCCCAGGTGCGCACGCTCCGTGGGAGCCTCGTGGCCCGACTGGCGTGGCCAGGACTCATTTGCTGCGCTTGGGCGCACACATACCCAGCCCGCCTGCGGGTGCCAACAGCCTGGTCCCGGCCTCCCACCGCGGGCACCCACGCGTGACCCGGCAGCCCACAGGCCTTGAACCAGTCCTTCCTGGACTCCACGCTCCGGACCTCCCCGCCCCACCCTCTGGGTGGGAGGTACCACCACGAGGGGACCAGATCGTCACTTGAGAGGTGCGGACCCAGGGCTGCCCCCTAGCGATGAAGACCTCAGGGACAGCCCTGCACCCCCAACCCCTTTCCATACAGTAGCAACCACAAAGGAGCGGGCCAGCCATGCCACCCTAACTGGCTTCCCTGTCCAGGCCCCGCCTCTGGCAAGGGAGGCTTTCAAAGTGTAAACCACATCGCCCTACTCTGATAAAATAAACCCCCAAATCACTGATTAGCAAAGTACATCAATCATCTCCTCACTTTCCTTCCAACCTCACCCCTGATTCCTCCCTCTCCCATTCACTCCCTTTTAGCCACAGGGATCTCCTTCAGGCTTCTCAAAGACATCCATTCCCCCCCCCCTCCCTCAGGGCATTTGCACTTGCTTCCCCCCCCCCTTTACCTGTAATGCCCTTCTCCTGGATATTCCCAGGGCTCCCTCCATTGCTTCCTGCAGATCCCTCCCTATATACAACCTCCTCCAAGAGACCCTCTCATCCCATCACCCTCTCTAAAACACCATCTCTAAAGTCCTATCCCACTACCCCACCTCATCTTTCCTCCTAGTCACCTGTCTTTCCTCCTAGTCACCCCCTGACATATTAGTTTATTGTTTGTCCCACCAGCAATAACTGAAGGCCCTGAAAAGTGGAGGTTCCCCCCACCACAGGGCTGGGGACCCAACTCAGGGGTGCTAGGCAAGCTTTTTGCCACGAAGCTAAATCTCCAACCTCAAAAGTAGAGTTTTCTTATGCTTTGTTTAGTGCCCAGAATAAGATCAGATATAGCAGACGCTTAAGGAAAAACATTTTTTTTTTTTTTTTTTTTTTTGGTTCCATGGATTCTTTGGGAACATTCTGAGCCAAGCAGCAATTTTTGTTTGTTTTGTTTTTGATTTGTTTGGTTTTGGTGCTGGGGGATTAAAGAGCCAAGAACTCTTCATTCAGCCCACATGAGAAGCCTGTGATTCACCCATTTCACAGATGTGGAAACAGATTCAGTGACTGGTCTAGAGCCTCCACTGAGTCTCTCCCCTGCCTTTCTACTCTCCATCTAACTCATTGTCCAGCTGTGGAATAGTGCAAGTGGCTTTGCCCTCCCTCACTCCAGGACAGGCAAGGCTGACCGTTGGCTGGGCTCCCACACAGGGCAGGAGGCACCGTCTCCCTTGTAGATCCTGGGTCCACAAAGAGAGGTCTCAGGCATCTCCTGGGGTGAACAGGCCCACCTTTGATCCCACCCATATTTCCCCAGTAAGACCCACCCTGGCCCTCGCTTCCAAATGCGTTCCAAAATATCCTTTCAGCCTTTCTTTCAGCTTCCACTGAGTCCCAAAAATATCCTCTGAGCGGACTGGGGTGGGGGGCGGCTTTTCTGCCCTCATTCCATAATATGTCAGGGGGGGTGAGGCAGTGAGAGAGGGCGACATTTGGCAACAGAGAGAAACAGACAGGAACACACAGATTCACGTAGACCAACAGAGAGAGGTGGGGGACGATGGGAGAGAAGGGAGGAACCAGGAGAGCGAGGAGGACACTCCTGTCCTCATGGACCTGACCAGGGCCACTGCCAACCCAGTTGGCCCTGGTGAGCAAATCAGAAAGGCACCACTCTGGAGGACACAGCCCTGTGCCAGGGAGCAGGACGTGGTGAGCTGAGCCTGGTGGACTGGGTTTCAGAGCCCCCTGGACCTTCAGCCAAGACCCTGGCACAGGGCCCAACCTACATGGTGTGCCTGGAAGACATCCCTGCTATCTGCACACCGGGGGAAGGCAACTTTGAAACTGACCTTGAACCTCTGCACTCACCCATGGGGTCTTCCCCCAGAGTAAGTCCTTGCACCAGGTCACCCCTGCCATGGTCCCCACGAGTGCCAAGCCAGGTCATTCACAGAAAACTGCCCAGGACCTGTGGGGCTGGGAGGAGGCCCTCGTTCCTGCACCAGCACACAGATCCTTGTCCTGCAGCAGAGACAGCACCAGCGTGCCACAAGGCCCAGCCCACAGCTGGGAATCCCAGGAACTGAGAGGACGTGCCACAGTCTGCACCACAGACTGGGAGACAAGGAGCAGAGAGGAAAAGGGCTTCAAGGTTCCAGAGGACCCACCATCTGCCCTCCAGGCCCCCACCCTTCCCGAGAGCCTACACTCTGGGAGGAAATGATTAGCAGGGCCATTAGGGCACAGGTGAGTCATCTGGTCACAAGGCAGCCTCCTGGCTGACTCAGAGGCTGCAGATGCCCTTCCACCAGCCCTGCTCCACTCTGAGTCAAGGGCTCCAGGGTTCCTGGCCAGGAAGCCCAGGAGAAAGACCCCCACACACTGCAACCCATGAGAAACTAACCCTGGCTAACATCCCCAGCCCCCTGCAGGCTGCGGATGGGAAGTGGGATTTTGGACCCTCAGCAGGCTGGGTTGGGCCAGGACATCAGCTGCTGCAGTTTCCTTCCCTCCACCCTAACATGTGGCCACAGGGCCAGTCACCTAACAGCTGTTGTTCTCAATCACAGTGATTATTAAGGGTGGCCTGAAGCAGTGGCACAGGCCTATAATCCCAGCAACTCAGGAGGCTGAGTCAGGAGGATGACAAATTCAAGGCCAGCCACAGCAATTTAGTGAATGCGGTCCCCAAAATAAAAAGGACTGGGGATACAGCTCGGTGGTAGAACATCCCTGGACTCAATCTCCAGTACAAAAAAAAAAAAAAAAAGAATGGTCACCTCGTTCTGTGTTGAACTTCAGTTCCACACCAGGCCCCAGACTGGACACAGAGGGGACACACGGGAAACATCAGACCAGCTTCCTTGGATAACTGTCACTCTGGGAAGAATGGAGGCAACTGAGCTTTCTTATACATATATTGGGGTTGCTCAGAGCCTGGGACTGTGGAAAAGGAAGAGTTGGGGCCCCTCTGGGATCAGCAAGACCTCCTGGAGAACAGCACCCCCTGGTGTCCAAAAAAGGCCTGGCCTTCCTGCCCATGGGATCCTGGGAAGCCAGCCTGACCCTTCCATAGACCATTAGGACGCATGATTATGCACCCTCATCCCAAGCCTCCCCTCACTTCTGGAATCAGACAGCACTGGACCCTCCAGCAATCTGGACCTCTCCTGAGGCCATGCCACACCCCTTTGACCTGTCCTGCCTGGAATACCCAGAGGTGCCCAGCCGTGAGCATGGCACAGCGTGGGCCCTGCCCTAACCCCATACCATGGGCTTGCAGGGGATGGGTATCCCAGCCTGAGGAGTCACCCCTCCTACATCAAACCCAGGGACTAGCCAGGTGCAGTGGGGGCACGCCTGTAATCCCAGAAGCTCACGAGGTGGAGGCAGGAGGATCGCGAGTTCAAAGCCAACCTTGGCAACTTAGCGAGGCCCTAAGCAACTCAGTGAGACCTTGTCTGTAAATGAAACACAAAAAGGGGCTGCAGACATGGCTCAGTGGTTAAGTGCCCCTGGGTTCAATCCCCAGGACAAAAAAAAAAAAAACCCAAAAAAATAAACCCAGGGACCCCCTCCCTCGCCTGCCCCCCAGCCCAGTCCTCCTAAGGCTGGTCCCCACAGTTCCAGGGCCCCTTTCCTGGCTTTGTCCCTGAGCTGGCTGGGCAGGAACTTCCTGTTGGAGAATTCCCGGATCCTCCCTGTGAGGCCACAGCATGGCTGGGAGCAGCGAGGGAGGGAATTCAGAGATGTTCCTCCTAACCGGGCAGAACTTGCAGGCAGCGGGGAGCCCAGGGCTAGGGGTCCTTCCCCACCCCGGGTCAGGCCTCCCTGCTCTCCCCACTCAGATGCTCTGCAGCCAGCACTGTGCTAGCATCTCTGGGCACAGACTGGGGACTCAAGTGAGACCCCAATAGACTGGTCAGGGATGAGGGGGCAAGGTCCAAAGACAAAAGCCACGGAGGCCAAAGGCAAACCAGGTTTTTATTAATAACATCATAGGCCCGAGTCTTATGGGTGGGGACAGTATGTTGGGCCACCCTCCAGATGCGTGGACACTGTTCATTCCAAAGCCCCCCCAGGCTCTAGGGGCTTCTTGGATGTGTCCTGGAAGAGCAACGTGTTCCTACTACAAGTGGGCCCAGGGGTGTGGGACAGGACAGACTCTGGCCAGCAGGGGCCTCACTCCGGAGGAGGCCAGTTTCCCATCTCATCCATCTCCTCGAGGAGCAGAAGCTGAGGGGCAGAAACGGAGAAAAGGAGATGCCTCCGCACCTGTGGGCTCCTTCCCTTCCCTGCTCTGCACACCAAGACCCTCCCCTGCTCAGGAAAGAAGCACCCCAGAGCCACCTGTTCCAGAATCCCAAGGCTGGCTGGGTGCCACCAACCCGAGCTATACCTCCTTGCCATAAAATGGAGACTCCATTCTCTCTTCAACTTGGGGGGGAGGGGTTCCCTGCAAATCCCAGGACCCAGGTACTCCAGCCAACCCCTTCCCTCCCTCACCTCTGCCCTGGAATCCACACCTAGGGGACTCTGCACCCTTCCCTCCCCCAAGCCCCCAGCATTCTCCAAAGGCCAGGAGGTGGGACCCTGAAACATTGTGGATGCAACTCTGGCCCCAAAGCAAGGACTGGATAGGACCCCACTTGTATCACCCAGAATCTCCTCGGGGCCCTTCCATGCTGCTCTGCTGCTCAGGCTGCCCCAGGACCGGGAGCCCTGGGACAGGACAGCCTGGCTCAAAGCACAGTTCAGAAGAAGAGGGAAGGAAGGTGAGGGGGAGTCCCAAGATTAGAGCCTTTTAGCATGAAAGGGAAAAAAAAATGAGGGGCCTGCCCCTTAAAAGGGGAACTTGTGTGTTGTTCTTTTTTTTTGGGGGGGGGGGCGGTACCAGGGATTGAACCCAGGGCACTCAAGCACTGAGCCCCATCCCCAGCCCTATTTGTATTTTATTTAGAGACAGGGTCTTACTGAGTTGGTTAGCGCCTCACCATTGCTGAGGCTGGCTTTGAACTTGTGATCCTCCTGCCTCAGCCTCCCAAGCCACTGGGATTACAGGCGTAAGCCACCGCTCCTGGCAAACTTGTATGTTATGGATGAGAGGACACAGGGCCTCCCATGACCTAGGCATTCAGGGAGGTTCAGGACAATGGGAGAGTACCCCAGTGCCCAGTGTTTATAGTAATCACTACCTCAGGAGGTGAGGCATATGCCACTGTCCCCAGTGTGGCAGGGCCTTTAACTGTAGACCCTTGAAGGCTTAGAGGCAATGTCATAGAGCAAGTAAATGCCAGAGTTGAGACTTTGCTTAGAGATGTTGGCCTCTCAACCTTGGGCTCATTCTTTCTGGAAGCCACATGGACATGGCAGGGGAGAAATCAACTCAAAAGGGCGCTGACGCGTGTTCCAACAAGAGATCCATCCAGGCTCGCAGAGGGGCTGAGACAGGCCTAAGCTTCATGGTGGGTGTCAAGGAGGGAGAGCAGTGGCTGGTCCTTGGTCTGCCCGGTGGGGTTGCTCTCTAGAGCCTCCGGGTGCTTGTGAGAATGGGTGAGAACAGGGGAGAGAATAGAAGAAGAGCAATATCGCGCTCTAACATGATTTCAGCCTGTCTAGACAAATCCCCTCATTGTTCATGACTCTGGTTCAAGTGAGAGATGACTGAGGAAGTGTGGGGGGGGTGGGTGAGGATGCACACATATGTGTGTCTGTGCCTGTGCATGTGAGTTCAGGGTCGAAGGGTCCTGAATTCAGAAATGCTACAACTAAAAAGGGGTCTTCCCCAACCCTACCCAGGCAGTGGGGGCTGAGCCCCGAGGAGGTGGGAAGCCTCTTTCACCAACGCCCTCAGGCAGGGGCCTTGGTGGTCTGGGGTGGCCAGACATACCTGGCCATCCACCATGCCAGCCTCCTCCAGGGTGATCTCTGGCCAGGTCAGCAGCTCCCGGCCCTCTAGGCTGCCCATCTTCCAGAGGCGAGCCTCTCGCTGTACTGCCAGAAGTTTCTTCAACTCCGACTCCACAAAACCTGAGAGCCAGAGAGATGGGCATATGTGAGATTGTGAAATATATATTTGGTCTTCATCCTGTTTCCTGGCATGCAACTCCTGAAATCCTTGGCATCTTCAAAGTGGTAAGTGTCTTTGGGTATGTGGATGGATGACTGAGAGCTGACAGCCCTTCTGCAGCTTGGGGATGCCAGCTGTCACCTGAGAGACCAAGGTGGCTTCAGAGGGTTGGGACTTTGACCTCTGCAAATCCAGCCTCCAGGGAGGGGAGAGGGGATGAAGGTGAAATGGATCACCAGTGGCCAAAGATTTAGTCAATCATACCTATGAGAAAGCAAAAGGATGGATCTTGGAGAACTTCCGGGTGGCTGAATTGCTGGGTAGCTGGGGTGCAGTGGCCGGTGGCCAGGAGAGGGTGTGAAACCCCCAGGCCCTGCCCTAGGCTTCATCTGTACCCTTTGTGATATCCTTCATAATAAACGGGTAAAGGTAAGTCAAATGTCTCCTCTGTTCTGTGAGCTGCTCAAGCAAGTTGAGCTTGGGGAGGGGGTCACAGGAACCCTGACTGGTAGCTGGTTGGTCAGAAGCACAGATAAAACAACCTGGCCCTTGAGATTGGCATTTAAAGTGGGGGACATGCCAGGTACGGTGGCCTGTGCCTATAATTCTAGCAACCCAGGAGCCTAAGGCAGGAGGATCAGATGTTCCAGGCCAGCCTTGGCAATTTAGCCAGTGGCTGAAGTAAAAAATCAAAAGAGCTGGGGGTATAGTGCAGTAGTAGAGTACCCCTGGGTTCGATCTCCAGTATCGCAAATAAATAATGTGGAGGACAGTCTTGTGACACTAAGTCCTCAACCCGTGGGATCTGATGCTCTCTCTAGGTAAACAGTGTCAGAGCCAAATAGACTGGAGGACCCTGGGTGGTTTCCTCTGCAGAACCTGGGGAGCTGCTAGATGGCTTCGAGCATGGGGATGTACTGCCACACATCTGTATCACAGTATTTTGTGTTATGACAGCGTAGGAGAAACCGAGTTTGCTATTCCAATATTCCCAGAGCATGAGAACACAGGAGCAGAGTGGAACCAGGTGCTGGGGACCCAAGGACCAAGAGAGGGAGGCTGCTCTTCCAACCTCACTCCAGCTGGGCCACCCAAGAACGCCCCCTCAAAGCTCTTCAGTTACTGGGAGCCAGCCAGGCCCTCCTACCCCAGGAAGGGGGGCTCCCTCTTGCAAAACAGAGATGTGTGGCTGCTCCTGGGCAGAGCATGGGGGGGTAGATCTCTTCACCCACATACTAAAGAGCTTGGACCCAGCCCCTGTGACAGGAGCCTGTAATCCCAGAGGCTCAGGAGGCTGAGGCAGAAGGATCCCAAGTTCAAAGCCAGTCTCAGCAACTTAATAAGGCCCTAAGCTATTTAGTGAGACCCTATCTCTAAATAAAATATTAAAAAGGGCTTGGGGGGCTGGGAATGTGGCTCAAGCGGTAGCGCGCTCGCCTGGCATGCATGTGGCCCGGGTTCGATCCTCAGCACCACATACAAACAAAGATGTTGTGTCCACCGAAAACTAAGAAATAATAAATATTAAAATTCTCTCTCTCTCTTTAAAAATAAATAAATAAAAATAAAATAAAAAGGGCCAGGGATGTGGCTCAGTGGTCAAGTGCCCAGGTACCACACACACACACACACACAAAAAAAAGCCTGGATCTGTTAGTTCAATTCCAGCTCTGCTCATTATTAGCTGTGTGACCTTGGACATATTATCTAATGTCTCTGTGCTTCCCTGCTATAAGTGGTGATGATAACAGGACCTACTTCAGAGTTGTAATCTACCATTTTATGAAAAGTGCTTATGTGAGGGTCTGGTCACCCAGTGATGGCTAAGTAAATGTCAACAATGACTTTTTGGGTTTTGGGGGGGGTTTGGGAGGTGAACGTTGGTGCTGGAAATTGAACCCAGGGGCCTCATACATGCTAAGTACTCCCTCTACCACTGAGCTACACCCTGGCTCAACAATTTTTTCTTTCATTTGTTTTCTTTTTGTGGTCCTGGGTGTTGAACACAGGGCTTCATGCATGCTAGATAAGCCCTCTACCATTGAGCTGTATCTCTAATCCCAGTGCTTTGTTTAAATTTTATTTTGAGAAAGGGGCTCCATAAGTTGTCCAGGATGGCCTTGAACTTGTGGTCAATCCTTCTTTCTGTCGATTCTCCTACCTCAGGCTTCCAAGCAGCTGGGATTACAGGCCAACAGTGATTTCTGTCATATATTCTTTTTTGGTTTTGGTGCTGGGGATTGAACCCAGGGCCTTGGGCATGCAAGGCAAGTACTCTACCAACTGAGTAGATCCCTAGCCCCTGTCATACATTCTTACCAATTCTGATCCAACTGTCCTTCATGTTTGGGGCTGTATTAGGAGAGAGGACTCTCCAGGGCTCTGACACAGCAGTGCATGAACCAGGGACTCCTCCCAAAGAAATAAAACCTCTGGGCTGGAGAAAGTACGGTGCTCGAGTGGCCCCACCCCAACCCTGCAGCCTCAGAAACCCTGAGGGACCCTTGCTGGACCTAGAGACCTCCAGCCCCATAACACACAGGTCCCCCCATCCCTGTTGGTCATCTTAGGTCCTCTGATGCCATCTGGTGGTCAATGCTTATATTGTACTCTTGGACTGAGTGCAATATAAGGGGGGCTTCCTGGGTCTGGGAACAATCTGGGAGGTGAGGGGTGGGGTGGAGAGTCTTACCCACTGTATCTGTGGACCTAAAAGTCTTGTGCAGTGGTGACTGGAAGCCAATAATTCTTGGGACACAGAGCTTGAATGAATTGTCCTCTTCCTTCATTTCCTCTTCCTTCCCTTTCTCCTGGAGGGGCAAGCCTTCCTTGAGAGGAAACTGATGGCCTGCCAAGTCTCTGAGCAGGTGCGGAGGGCCAGGACCCCGAGCCTGCAGCCCCCACCCTCCCTCAAGAAAACAGAAAGTAGGAGAGAACAACAGTCCCCGAAGGTGAAGAAAGGGGACTGTTCCCAAGGGACCAAGCCACATAGCCTGGGCTCAGCCAGGGCCCCACCCCCCACCCCCACAGACCTTGACAATGGCTGATTTCTGGAGCTGCTTGTACAAACCAAGGAGGCGGTTCCAGGGAGTTCCTGCCTTGGAAGAGGCCAGCCTGAGGTCTCCTGTGAAAGGACAGCAGTCACTGATGAGCAGGAGGCTGGGAGGAAGGAGGGGTCCCGGGGCAAGGAGGTGGGGCAGGCTGAGCTGAGGGCAGGGTTACCAAAGGGTTCTTTACCAAACCCTTGTTGTGTGCCAGGCCCAGTTTTAGGCACCCGAGGAAGCCACCTTGGTCAATCCTTGCAACTGATTTATTCTCATTTTATAGATGAGGAAACTGCTGAGGTTAACAACACGCCACCATCCCACAGCCTGACGGAAGTGGGCTTCGAACCCAAGCAGTCTGACTTCAGCATTCCTCAGAATGGGTCCTGTGGGCTGCCAGGCCTTCCCCCTGCACCCCTCGGCCTAGGGCCACCATTACTCACCATCAAGTAGGCACGCCTCCTCCTCCTCCTCCTCCTCCTCCTCCTCCCTGCTGAAGGCCTCTGGGCTGACTTCCAGCAGCTCCGTGTACCTCAGGCATTCTTGCTCCTCCTCCAGGGCCTGGGCACAGTGGCTCCTAATCCCAAAGCACAGTCAGCTAGGGGAGGCAGGTGGGCCCAGAGAAGTGGCAGTGACCTTCCCACCCCAAACCTCCTGGGCAAGGCTTTCCCACAGGCCTGCCTGGCCCCCTCCATTAGCCCTCTCCTTTGGGCCCCCTGGGGTCTTCGTCATGGAAGGAGCTATCCCCCCACCCCAAGAAAGTCAGTGTTGAGGAAAGGAGACTGAGAGAGGTGGTCCCCCTTTCTCACACAGAAGGCCCAGGCCCAGGGGGAGTGGGGAACCAGAAGGAGAGAGTCTGGAGGGCAGGCAGCAGGGAGGAGGGCCTGAATAGGAGAGGGAGGCGGAGGGAGCTGAGCCCACCCTGTGCACTCCCTCCAGCCCTTAGCCCATCCCCCTCTCTCATGGTTTCCCTAGCAATGCTGGGGTCCAAATCCAGGCCTCAAGTGCTAGGCAAGCCCTCCACCACAAAGCCACACCCCCAACCGCACCCTTCATCACCCTTTCATCCACAACCCTGTACTTGTGAAGGACCCCATGGGTCTCCCCTCCAAACCGTCATCTATAGACCTCCCCACTCTTTCTTTCTTTTGGTACCAGGGATTGAACTCATTTACCACTGAGTTCATCCTCAGCCCCTTTTATTTTTTATTTTGAGACAGGGTCTCACTAAGTTACTTAGGGCCTCCGTACACTTCTGAGGCTGGTCTCAAACTGGCGATCCTCCCTCCTCAGTCTCCTGAGTGGCTGGAATCACAGGCATGTGCCTCTGAAGCCAGATTTAAAGTTAGGTAGTCAGTGTAGTTAGGTAAATCGGGTCTAATATCGAGTGAAATCTAAAATGGAGGCCATGTTGAGAATGAATTTCCAGAAGAGTTGAGCAACTCTGGAAATGTTAATGAAGTCCCGAGAAAAGCCCTAGGCCCAAAGTCCATCCCAAAGAAATATTAATGAACGGCCCCAGCAGATTTGAAGATAGCCCATCCCAAAGAAGTGTTAATGAAGTCCTTCCTGCCCAGATTACTTCTTTGGCCCACCTGTGTCCCATGTTCAGGCCTCTTCCCAGTACCTCTACCTTAGGCTCCCGCCCCATCCGGGTCCCCAACACAACCACCCTCCTTGACCCCAGCACCTCACCTATCTAAATCCCCTGAATCCCCCGAGGCCTCCCCTGCTGGCTCCTCTTCCTTCTCTCGGTTCTCTTTCTTCTCTGACATGTTGCCCAGCACCTCCAGGCTTCTTCCGGGAAGGAATGGCTTCACTTCTACGCACTGGGCTGTAAGCCTCAGGACCTCCTTGGGGTTAGTGGTCTGGGAGCCCATGTCCCCCATGCCCAGCCCAAAGGCCTCGTGCTGTAACAGGTGTGCGGAGCCCCTGGGCACGGCCACTGAGAAGGTACAGGGCAGCGAGGCAAGGGGCCCTGGCTCCCTCCACCCGGAGTCCCCCTGGAGGCCCGTCTTCAGGGAGGTGGTATCCTGTTCTTGTAGCAGGCACAACTGGCCCCTGGCCAGGGCCTTGTCCGAGCTCTTTGGGTTGCCCTTGCTGCCCACCAAGCTTCGGAAAAAGCGGAACATAGGAGAACGGCCCAAAATCCGTGACCGTGATCTCGAGGTTCGATCTGGGGCCTCCATCCTGAGAGGGACCCTGACTCAAGGAAGAGTCGCAGCAGCCCAGGACCAACTGCTTAAGAACAGGGAGTTTTCAAATTAAAACCTCCAGTTGGAGACTTCCAGGAGTTCTAGAAGGCAAAGATGAGGCGGGGGTGGGGGCTCAGTATGGGGTGGGGGACATAGAGGGGGATGTGTTAACTGGAGACAGAGAGGACGGAGTGGACGAAGCAGAGGAGAGGGCGCAGTCTAGCTGGGCTCCAGGTTGACGAGGCTCCAGGGAGCATGGGGGACAAGCTGGGGGTGGCAATGGGGCTGGAGTCCAGGTCAAGACTGGACGGAGAAGAGGTTTTTGAGAGCCCAGAAGGCCTGGCAGGGGATAGACAGGAAGACTGTGAGGGAAGGGACCCTAAGAAGGAGGCGGGGGCTGTTGGGGACTCTGCACACACTTCTGTCCTTCTGTAGTTTATTCTGTGCTTGGGAACATTCCTGAAGCCACACAGTTTCTGTCCTCCCTCTTGTCCCCACTGGCCTGCCCAGGTCTAGGTGGTAGCACAGACTCCAGGGTCTACATCTCTGCTTCCCTGCCGGTCACCTTCAAGATTTGGGATCCCAGAGACTTCCAAGGTGCCTTGTTGCCCAGATTTGAATGTATATTGAATCCCAGTTTAGTAGTAGTATTCCTCGTAGCACCCACGACTCTGACCATGAACCCAGGTCAGTGACCTTGGGAGAGTTCCTCAAACCAGTAGAGCCAGCCTCACTTTGTCCATTTGTAAAATGGGCCTAGTCAACCATCCCGACTTCCAAAGGTGCAGAGAAGATACAAGGAAAGAATGGTTTCTAAACTGCATTGCTAAGTTGAGGTGCTTAAGAAACTTCTCAATCGTGTTTTTTTTTATTAGTGTTAACTGAGGGAAGAGAGGGAAAATCAAGGAGGACTGGAATAAGGGATGGGAAAAGCAGTGAGCCCCAGGAAGCCTCTCAGCCTGGCTGGGAAGTGGGTGGGGGGAGGGGGGGAGAGGAGGAGGAGAGGGGGAGGACCAGCTTCCCCCTACAGCCCGCCCAGCCCGTGCCTCCAGGCTATAGGCCTGTGCATCCGCATCCGGTGGCCACCAAGCAACTTCCTCTAGAGGGAGCTGATTGCAGCTGGGTGCTGCCGGCACCTCTAGGATCGGTGGAGCCGCGCGGGTCCCTGGGGCCGCACCACGACAAGCAAGAGCTGCATCCTGACACCAGGAATGCACTGACGCTGGTTCCTGGAAGCTGAGCCCAAAACCCTGCCGCTGGGAGCAGCCACCAGCCCTTGGGTATCTTCGGCCTTGGCCCTGCCGAGCTTTCCGGCTCTGGACCAGAGACTGGACAGGTAAGCCGGCAGTTCCCTCCATCTTCCCTAATCCTGCAAGTTTCAGCCCCAGCGTGAGGCAGAGAGCCCACCGAGAGCCAGGTAGGGAGGAGAAGTCTCGAGACTTGCCCAGGCAGGTCCCCATGCCCCGCTGGGGGTCTGGTCGCGACAGGCTACCTCTGGCTCCCCTCTCCCAGATAGCTCCCCCTCTAGCCTCGGCCCTGGATGGCCCTGAATGCCAGAGAACCAGGCAATTTAGCAATCTGGGGGGTTGGGAGAGGAGGTCAGAGCCAAGGTCAAGGGTAGGGAATAATACTTTCACAGAGCTTTCTGCTGCCCCGGGATCTCTAGACTGGGTCTGGGGCCAGGCCAGGCGTATCTTCCTGGGGAACATCTTTCATAGGCCCAGCAAGCCAAGGAGATGGGGGTGGAATGGGAAGTTAGGCCACTGGGATGGTGGGGGTAGGCGGAGGCCCTGGTGAGCATAGGCCGCCGGCTTTGGGGGCTGTTCTGAGACTCTGTCTGCTCTCCAGCAGTGAGCCCCTGGGGAGGAAGGAGTTAGAGGGATCTGGTGATTCCGTCAGCATCCCCTGGCAGTGCTGTCCCAGGGGGACCAGATTTTGGAGACCAGAGAAGAGGAAAGAGCATCTTAGGAAGAGGCTAGGGGGTGAGGTGTGCAGGCAAAGAGCTGTACAAGGCCTGGCGCCCAGGGGTGGGGGAGGGGAGGGTCTGCCTTTGCCTCATCCTTGTCCCTAAGAGGGTAGAGGTAGGAAAAACTGAGTGTACAGGTGGGTCAGTGCTCCGCTACCTCTTCTCAGGGAGCTCTTAGGTAACTCAAAAATGATCCCAGGCCTAAGCGGAAGGAGGGTGAGTGAGGGAATGTGGGCCTGGGGCCAGGTAGGGGTCTGCAGCCCTTGTACAGGGTGGGGCTGAGTCCTCTTCAAGGACAGGAGGAGGGGTGCTTCCTGCCAGGGTGATGGAGGACACTTGGAAAGAAGTGGGGCTCTGGAAGGGGCGCAAACTGAAAGTGAAACCGTTGAAATCAGGAAATACTCCCTCAGCCGGAATCGAGGCCATGCTCGGACTGGGCAAAGAGGAAAACTGGGGCTGGGAACCAGAGCACAGGTGTGTGGCAGAGTTGCGTGGTGTGAGGCAGGTTGGGGGCTGTGTCACGCTGACTCCTGAGGTCCTTCTGAGGGCAGGAGTGGGGAGGGCACAGACAGGGAGTTGCCGGATGGAGAGAGCTGCCCCGGGAAAAAGGACACCCTCTGAAATCCCAAATCCACAAACTGGAAGAGAAGATAAACGGTGTGTGCACTCCTGGAGATCAGATAACTGTCCTGACCTGCCCCGACTAGCTGTATGGCCTCAGGCACTAACCTCACCTCGCCTTCCTTTTCCCACCTGTCCATGAGGGTGGTGATGCTTTATCTCACTGGGGTAGGTGGGTTTTCAATACTTCAGTGGTAGGAGTACACAGCAGGCTCTCAGGAGGTGTTTGCTGAAAGGCCTGAGTTGGAAAAAAAGTATGTTTCTGCCAGCCAGGGGGAAGTGGGCCCTTGAGGAGGGCCTTCAAGGGTCACCCGCTGGGAGGGGTCAAATGTGGTAGTGTGGGCTGGAGAGCCTGCAGGTAGCCCTAGGAGTAACTGAAAGAAACCTCAACCTCTGAAACTAGTGATGTGAAATGGGACACAAGAGCCACCAGGGCATGGCTGTGACCTTACCCCTCCAAAAGGTCCTGATTGCCAGTACAGATACCTAGATACCTTGGTCTCTCCCTAACTGCCTCACCTTTCTTTTCTTTTTTCCTTGGTGGTGCTGGAGGTGGGACCCTGGGCTTGTGCATGTGAGGCAGGCACTCTACCAGTTGAGCTGTATTCCCAGCCCCAACTGCCTCACCTTTCTGACCCCATCTCCTTAGAAAGATGGCCAGTGAGTCATTCAGTGAATTCTCTTTCCTCTTGGAAGATACCGCTGGGACCCAAGGTAGAGGCAGCCTCTCTCGGGTCCCTGGTCAGAGCCCATACCTATCTCTGCTTTTTCTCACCCATTCCCACAGGCTGACACTGTCCTCTACTAAGACCTGAAAAATGGCATCCGGGCAAGGCCCAGGTCCTCCCAGTGAGGAAGGTGGAGAGCCAACCTCCGATTCTGGTAAGGGTCTTCTTGACCATGAACTCCCGTAGACACAAGGGTTATCTGGAGGCTGGAGGGAGCCGATGTGGGTAGGGCCGAGAGGACTAAGGGCTGAGGTCCTACCTCAGCTCAGCTCCTTGAATAAAGGAGGAAAGTATCTCCCAGCCCAAGGCTGGTGGCCCCTTGGGCTCAAAAGCGGGAGCTGGAGTTGGAGCTTGAGTCAAGCTTGAGTGGGCGGAGCCTGGGCTGGGAAGGTCCAGAGGTTGGGAGAGGCCCAGGAGCCAGCATGCAAGAGGGCACAGTGCCCTCCCTGCGCAGAGGGCGGGATTGAAGGTGAGGGAGGAGGGCAGGAGGATGGGGCCTGGCTGTTGTATCCCTGTAGTAGGAGAAATAAGGAAGTGAACTGGCTTATCACTGAGCGGAGTCCACCGAAAACGCAATTGTTGTGACTTGGGGGAGGAAGTAAGATGGCCGCCTGCCTTCTCTCTTCCAAGTGGATGGCAGGGAGGCCAAGCTTAAGGCTCACTAGAGGCTGTTCCTTGGACTTGGGGTTCACGTCTCATGTCTCTATCTCCCTTTGTGACTTTTCTTGGCCCAAAGCTACCACTTGGAATTCTGTTTCTCCCCAAGGCCTGGGTGCCTCATGCACACAGAGGTAAACTCGGGAGCCCACGTGCCTGGAATTACTCCCTGGCTCCACTGCTTGTTCCAGTTGTGTGACCTTGTATACATTACTTGGTCACCCTCTGCTGTGGTTTCTATAAACTGGAACTCTCCCCCTTCCCAGCTGATTGTGAGGACTGAGTGAATATACCAGCAGAGGACCCCAGAGTGAGCACTAGGTGTCCACCACGGGGCCGGGGTGGGAACATTTCTATCTCGGGTGAGGACAGTCATGGCTTTGAGGAACACAGAGCCCCCCACAAAGGATGCACTGCTAGGGTCCAGTCTTCCCTTGCTGACTCCCAGCTTTGATCTCAGAGCAGCAGGTAGCCCGGGACACGGAGGAGGTTTTCCGTAGCTACGTTTATTACCGTCACCGGCAGGAGCAGGAGGCTGAGGGGGCAGCTGCCCCTGCTGACCCAGAGATGGTTGCCTTGGCCCTAGAACCTACCAGGTAAGCCCTAGCCCCGTAGGGACATCTTTAAGGGGACAGAGGCTCATATGGGGCTATGTGTGGGTCCTGGGAGCCAGAAAGGCCTGGGGGGCTTCTCTCCTCCCATTACCACTCCTTTCTCATTTGGGTTCCCACTCCCATATAAGATCATGCACCCTTTTTGACACATGCCTTCTCCTTATCCCTAAGCCCCACCTTCACGTCAGCTAACACTGTCAGGGACCTCCAAGGAGAGGTACACAAGGCCAGGGCCCCTTGGGCGGAACCCCTCTGCTATAAGCCCATTTTCCACTGCCTCCTACTCCTGCAGTACCATGGGGCAGGTGGGTCGGCAGCTCGCTGTGATTGGTGATGACATCAACCGGCGCTACGACTCTGAGTTCCAGAGCATGCTTGAACAACTACAACCTACAGCTGCGAATGCCTATGAACTCTTCACCAAGATCGCCTCCAGGTACCCGGCTGTCACTCTGTTCTGCCGTCTCGTCACCACTGTGCTGCACCCTGCTTATGTGATGGTCTCCCCAGCATGGTCAGGCACACTCTTTCTTGTCAGTGTCAGGGGACATGTGTACAGTCCCTGGTGTCTGTTAGCTCACATGTGGTCTTGGCCTCTCTCTCTCTCTCTCTCTGAGTTCCAGATTTGTCTTTTGGGCATAAGCTCACAGCTCTTATGAGTTCTGACACCAAGGACTTGACCGGTTAGATCAGGACACTGTGGGGGGCCCTGGGTTGGGAGGGTAAGATGGGCCATCTAAGGATGGCCCAGAGATGCTAAAGGTACTAAACCCCCCCAGGACCTGGAAATGGCTCCCAATAATCTGGTACCTAAGAGGCAATCTCACATAGGGAGCAAAGCCACCAAAAACTCAGTGGAAGAGTGCTTGCTTAGTATGTGTGAGGCCCTGGGTTCAATTCTTAGAACCTCAAAAAAAGAAAAAAATCCTGATTCAACTCTCAGTTTTTTTGTTGTTGGTGGTGGTTTTTTGTTTGTTTGTTTTGGTTTGGTTTGGTTTTGGTACTGGGGATTGAACCCAGGAAGCTTTACCACTGAGCCACATCCCAGCCCTTTTTTATTTTTTATTTTGAAGCAGGGTCTTGCTAAATTGCTGAGGGCCTCACTAAATTGCTAAGTCTGGCCTTGAATTTGTGATTCTCCAACATCAGCCTCCTGAGTTGATAGGATCACAGGCATGTGCCACGACACCCAGCCTCATTCTAGCTTTGTCTCTAACTGCAGTTGTGAAACTTCTACCCCTCAGTCTCTTGATCTTTGAAGTAGGAAAAATACACTTAGAACAGTGTCCTCTTTTGCAAAGTGTCAGCCATCATTTCCACATAAGTTAGGGAAACAGTGTCAGGGAAATTTGGTTTTTTGTTTTGTTTTGGTTTGGTTTGGTTTTGGTTTGGTTTGGTTTTAGGGGAAACTCAACCACTGAGCCATATCCCCAGCCCTACTTTATATTTTATTTAGAGACAGGGTCTCACTGAGTTGCTTAGAACCTCACTGTTGCCGAAGCTGGCTTTGAACTTGCAATCATTCTGTCCCAGCTTCCCAAGCCGCTGGGATTACAGGAGTGCACCACCGCACCTGGAGTGTCAGGAAAATGTAAAGGTGGTAAAGGTGCGAGTAGGTCATAGACTTATAATTAGTGCTCAGAGCTAAAATGTCTAGCCACCATGCCCCCATGCTGCTGTAATTCTGGGACCTGTCCTAATCTCTCTTCTGTCGTTTTCTCTCTGCTGTCCCCTCGGGCTGCCAGGCCAGCAGCAACACCCACAGGTAATCTCCCTACTTCCTCTGTCCGCTCATCTACCCTCTGCCCTTTCTGTGCCTTGTTGGCCTGTAGCCTTGGGAAGCTACACCCCAGTAGTAGCTCCTATGCCCTCTGAGATTTCTCCTTTCACAGAGACCCAGGCCCTTCCCAAATCAAGGCCAGACTAAGGCAGCCTCTGCGGCCCTGATTCGCAGCTAAGCCATTTAGCTTCCCATCTGGGAGAGGGGTGGGGTACCAGGAGGCAGGACAGGGAGGGCAGGTGGAAGGGGCCCTCAGGAGCTCTCCACTGACCTGTGGCATGCTCTGCTCACAGCCTGTTTGAGAGTGGCATCAACTGGGGCCGTGTGGTGGCTCTCCTGGGCTTTGGCTATCGCCTGGCCTTACACGTCTACCGGCATGGCCTGACAGGCTTCCTGGGCCAGGTGACCCACTTCGTGGCCGACTTCATGTTGCATCGCTGCATTGCCCGGTGGATCGCACAGAGAGGAGGTTGGGTGAGTGCCTGGGGGTCACCCAATCCTTCCTGCTGCTGGGGTTGCCCTGGGGCCCGGTATCAGCCTCTCTTTGACCACCTTGTCTCTTCTGACAGGTGGCCGCCCTGGACTTGGGCAACGGCCCAATCCGGAATGTGCTGGTGGTTCTGGCTGTGGTTCTGCTGGGCCAGTTTGTGGTACGAAGATTCTTCAAGTCATGACTCCTGGGGGGCCCTTTGGGGTTCAAGTGGGGACCCCTGACTGGATTTTAGCCAAAACTCCCTCCCCTCTCCCCTGTAGGGGTTCCCCCCCAAGAGTACAGAAGCTTTAGCAAGTGGGCATTCCAGCAGTGGACCCTGTCCAGAGGTCATTCAGGCTACACAGGTGCCCCAACATTGCATGGTGCTAATGGGCCCCTTCTCTGGGCACTATCCTGTCAGAGAGAGGCTGTAGCCTCTTTCCTCAGTTCTCTGGGACCCCCTTAGTCCTGTCTTTAGGGGGCTGCAGAGATTGATACCTTAGGGAGGCAAGAGGCTAGGAACCACTTCTTCCCAGGAAGTTCTAATGGTTTTAGCTTTTTATATACCCTTGGGAGGACCCATCCCCTTTCCCACCACTCTGTCCAGGGTCAGGATATCTAGGGTATGCTGGTCAGTGGATCAATCCTGTGCCCCCAGGACTCAGCTATTCTGGAAAATCAGAGCCTGAGAGGTGGGACTTGAGCACAGTCCTGGCCCTCCCTAAACATGGCTCCCAGGAACAGGACTGGCTGGTGTAGGGGGTCAAGGACCTGCTCAGCTCCCCTCCTGCTCCCACTCCCCCACTCCATGTTGGCCTTGTGGTTGGACTCTCAGGGATTCTGGGCCTGGGGTGTGAGGCAGAGGTGGGATTGGAGGTGGCAGTGCAGACTAGAATGTTCTGAACATATCCATCAGGACCCTCCAAGCCTGCCACCCACTCACCCCCAGGTCCTCTCAGTTCTTCCCCTTCCCCTCACCTGAAACTACTTGCTTCCAATCCAGTCACTACACATAAAGACCCTCCCTTGGGTTCCTGGGTAAGCAGGTGTGCTGAGGCCCCTGCTTGCCAGTTGCAGGGCCTAGGGCTTGGTTTATTTTAAGAAAAAGGAGAGCTCAGAGGCAGTGTCTGAGTGGGAGAGGGTCTTTATCATCAGGAGCCATCCTGAAGCTGGAATTGCCTCATGGCCTGGGCATAGTGTAATCTGAATGGGAGAACTGTGAATACTTGAACTCCACCCCCACCCCACACTCCATGCTCCTTGCCTGCCTAGGCTCCTCCTGGAGGCAGTGGCAGTACCTTCTCTATCTTGCACAGCCTAGGGACTTGGGGACAAGGGGAGGGAAGTTGTTGATTAAGCCAAATGCAGAGAGGGGATGCAGATGCAGACTGCTGGCCACCTAACACCCTGTCCTCTGACTGTGTTTGGAAATAAACTGTGCAATCCCCCACCTGGTATTTCTGTATCCTCTGCTACCTCTCTCCATCAGGCTGGGGTGCAGGAAGCTGAGCATGCTGACAGGTACCTGTCTTATTATTGAAAAAGATCTCAGTAAGCCTCCAGAATTCTGAGATTTGGTGTTATTCTCCACCCCGTGGACTAGAAGACCTTGGTCCCTCCCCACCAACTCTAGGCCCTTCTCCATGGACTTCCCATTCCTTTGGGTTCCAGGTCATTTCTCACCCCTTTAAGAAGCCAGGGACCCTTTGACTACTGAGTAGGTATAGCAGCTACACAAGACTGAGGACTCCCTAGGCCACCCCAAGTCTGGCCTGAATTCCTCTCCCTCCCTGGGCCTGCTGCCTATGCTGGCTCAAAAGGCTTTTCTCCCCCACGTTAGTTCTGCCTGGGACACAATGTCCCAGCTCCCCCTTCCTGATGTCGCCACAGACACACCACACACACACACAGAGCTTTTTTTCATTCTAGGAGTCTGATTCTGCATGGGAGTCCCTAAAGGGAGGCAGTCAGAGGTGATAAAAATAACAAGCATGGGGGCATTGAAATGTTCCAAAATCTACCAAGTCTTTTCAGTCCTGGGCACCCTGGTCTGTGTTTCTGACACCCTTCCAAAACTGTCACATGTGAGTCCAAGAGGACCCATGACCTTCACTTGCTTCTCTTTGCCTCTTGGCGCTGGCTTGCCAAGCCCCTTTCCTCTCCATGAGGGCTTAAATAGTCTGTACGATCAGTGGTGAAAGGAAAAAGCAGAGGCTGGGGCAGTAGTGGCTGGACGGATGGTTGCTGCAAGACCTGCTACAACCAGGAAGAGCTTATACACAACATGTTACTATGTGCCAGGCTTTATGCTGAGAATTTATTATCAATGCCCAAAATTAAAGTTATGGGGGGTAGGGGGTCTGGGGTTGTGACTCAGTGGTAGAGCGCTTGCCTAGCATGTGCAAGGCACTGGGTTGGATTCTCGGCACCACATATAAATAAATAAAGGTGCATCAATAATTAATAAAAATATATTTTTAAAAAGGTATGGGGCAGGTTGCACACGTATGTTCTCAAGTGTCCACAGATCAGGAAACAGGTGCCTCCCCAGAGTCACCCAGGAGGGAAAGGACAGGCAGCTAGCATAGGCCATCTGAATAATGGCTATAGGTTTTACTTGGAGACAGAAGGGCAAGGAAGCCCATGGTCTCGCGGGCATGCACCCGCCGTGGCAAAGGGTGCCAGGTGGCCTAGCTATCCCTGTGCAGCCGCGGAGCCACACTCAATCTCACAGAGTGAGGCTCAAGGTGCGCGGCTGCCCGAGGCCAAAATGGCCGCCGCGGCGTCGAGCACGCAAGCGTACCCTTTTGTGGGCGGGGTCTCCGAAGACGAGTCCCTTTCCGCTGGCTTTTGCGTTTTGGGGGATGATAACAGCGTGAGGCACTGAAGGAACAGCTGCGGATGACTTCCTGTGGGAATGTAGCCAGGTGGGCAGTGGCAGGAACTATGTGGTCTTCTCTGCTTCTTTAAGAAAGGACTTGGAACACTATCCTGGCCTTTTGGCCTTCACCTAATTGGGTTGGATTTTTTTTCCTGTGGTGCTGGTGAGCGGAAACCATGTTCATGCTTCTTGGGACTCTTCCTCTGAGTTCCATCTCTAACCCCCACCCTACCATTTTATTTATTTATTTATTTATTTATGTATTTTTATTTTTTATTTTTTTGCTTTTGTCTTTGCCTAGCCTGGCACCCTCCATACCCTTTATTCTGCTACCAAGAAAAAGTTTCAAAAACCTAAATCCAATGCATTCTGGAGTTGTGAAAACCAAGGGGGTTAAAGTTAGGTTAGCCAGAATAAGCCAAGGGCTAGGGGACAGAAGGGAGCAGGAATTAAGGCTATTGAATCAACGAAACTTGTGGGTCGGGAACCCAGTGAGGCACGACTGTGATCTGAGTGACTCAGGAGACTGAGGCAGGAAAATCACAAGTTTGAGACCAGCTGGGTAGCTTAGCGAGACCTGTCTCCAAATTAAAAATGAAAAAAATCTGGGGATGTTCAATCAACATTGCAACAATAACCCCCCACCCCCCTCAAAAAAAAAAAAACCAAGTGAACTTACTTTATTCCTCAAAAGTTGTAGTTGTTCTGAAATTGGGACTTATTTCCACCAATATGTCTGATTCCTTGAAGTTTGGTACCCTTGAGCTCACAGGGAAGCCATGGGAAAGGAGCAGTGTTCAGCTGTCATCTGCTCAGTTCTACAGTTTCAGTATAAATACCTCTCCTTGTTGACAGCAGCCTTGCATTTTCCTAACCCCCACACCCAAAGTTTCACCTTCATGTGTTTTTTGTTTGTTTATTTTTGTTTTTTGTACCAGGGATTGAACCCAGGGGTGCTTAACCACTGAGCAACATCTCCAGCTTTTTAAATATTTTATTTAGAAACAGTCTTGCTGAGTTGCTTAGAGCCTCACTAAACTGCTAAGGCTGGCTTTGAACTTGGGATCCTCATGCCACTGCACCAGGCATGTATTTGTTTTATCTGCTCTGAAGAAAGTAGATTTTAGGTCACTGAATGTCCATTCAAATCCTTTAATTTGAAAAAATCCTTTTTCTAAAACCACTCAGTTTATTTGAACAAGTTTTTATCCTAGCCACCTGGATACCATAAAAATAAACTAAAATGAATTATTTAGTTAATTAAAATAAATGGAAACACCATATCCTGTTCCAATTATACACACATCAAATGCAAAGGCCCCTGATTCCAGACACTTGTAAAATGCATATTTAATTCAGTTTGAGCAAAACAGATACTCATCATCTGGTGTGTGTGTGTGTGTGTGTGTGTGTGTGTGTGATGTGTGTGTATGGAGTTACCAAAGATTGCTGGAGGTGTTCAAAGTCAGGGATCAGAAGATCAGCAAAATCCAGTTTCTGGGGTGTGCTCACCAACTGCTGGGACATGTTAAAAATAAACATAAGGGGGAAAGATGAACACAAGGCTCCTGGGATATAAAAGTAAGATGTGGACACCAGGAGGATTCAGTTCACCGGGTAATAGAACAAAAAGTAATGAACTGGGGCTGGGGATGTGGCTCAAGCGGTAGCACGCTCGCCTGGCATGCGTGTGGCCCGGGTTCAATCCTCAGCACCACATACAAACAAAGATGTTGTGTCCGCCAAATAAATAAATAATTAAATATTAAAAAAAAAAAAAGTAATGAACTAACCTACTGAGAGAGCTGTGAGTAGAAGCAGATCCCCTGGAAATTTTGATGAATGATGCATTAGAGGGGGGATTTCGCATGACCAAGATCAGGTGATGGAGTATAACAGGCAAAACCCAGACTTGAGAGAAAAGTCCCTTCATAACTATGAGGACTGGCCTCAGAGTGCTCTGAGACCAAGAAAGGCAGACAGTTCCTGGATTGCATAGTTCTTGGGGGACTTACTGATGAAAGTGTGGCCTTGGGCAGCAGAGAGACTAGTTGGAGCCACACAATTTGGGTTAGAAAGAGAGGCATATTTGCATTAGGACAAAAGGTAACTTCATCTAGGTTGGAATGAACCTGGTGTATCTTAAGCAGTCTCATACCAAGAGTTAGGGTCCGATTATCAAGTCCCACATATGACCCTAATGGTTTTATCTATTTATGGTTTGCTGAGAAACTATGCAGGAAAAACCAGGTAGGGTTACTTGGGGGATTGATGGCTATGACTCAAGATGGCTGCAGTCATGTCAAGATGAAGTCATATAATGGTTGACACAAATATTGAAACCACAGAATCTCCCTATACCTGGAGTATGTGACTTTGCAATGGATGGGGTAGGCACCAAGTGTATGCATGTGAGGGTGTGAAAGTGTGTGACATTTGGTGAGTAACAGGAGTAGGGATTGATGGTTAGAATCAACGTAGGAATCAATTCAACTCTTAGCCCCATTTTTCTCAACACTTTCTTTGCAATCTTGGAACTATCCTTGGTTCCCAGTGCCTCAACCTTTTCCAGTCAGCTTTGGCTAAGGACACAGCATAAAGACAGCTCAAAGCTGTGTGCTCCAAGACATCACCAGGTGAACCTATTCTGTGAAGTTCATGGCACAGACTTATGTGATAACTGGCTACATGGAAGCTGGACTCACCAACCTTCTCATGTTTTGACTTAATTCTCTCTAACCTGACCTCTGATCCCATTGAAGGCTGTGGGAGACCAAACTTTAACGTGACTGAGTCACTCCCTGCCTGGGTGATGAGGCTTCAGGCAGCAGCTGCTGCTAGACTGCCCTGTCCTTCTTGGGTTCCAGTGACAGTGTCTTGTGCATGGTGGGCGTGCCTTCCTACAGCCCCATGGGTGGAGCTACGCTCACCTGTTCCTTTGTAATATCACCCCTTTCCCTGTTTGGGATAGAATGTTCCATGAAAACACCCTTTGAGTGTCCCCTTCTCTTACTGTGCCCTTGGGTGTGGCCTACCTAGATGTCAGTCAACCTGCTGACAGTGGACATCATCTAGACTCAGCCCCCTGAAACCTGACCCCTTGCCTCATTTGAATGGCTTCTGCTCAATAAAAGGGGTCAGCACTTACAGGCTCTCTCTCTTTCTGAGGACCCTTAAGGTCAGAGGAGCCATTACAGCAACCCCAAAGAAACAGGTATTTCTGTCTCTTGTGTGGTTATTTCATGCAGCCCAGTTAGCCCAGTTCCCCTGGAGTAACCCCTGCGTGTTTTAGTCACGAAGAAAACCCAGCAGAAGGCATCTTTTCCAATTTATTTCTAGTGGATGGTTGGGCTTCCTTAAGAATATGAACAGTGGGCTGGGCATGTAGTTCTGTGGTAGAGCACTTACCTAACATTCACAAGGCCCTGGGTTCAATCCCCATCTCTCTCTCTCATACACAAACACAAGAGCCCGGTGTTGTGGCACATACCTGTAATCCCAGCAACTCCAGAGGCTGAGGCAAGGAAGATCTCAAGTTTGAAACCAATTTGGCAATTTAGGATAACCTCAACATAA